TTTGGAAGAATAAAAAAGTAATCTCGAAAGGGTTTTAAGGAGAATTTAAAGAGCTGTTGTTGTTTTTTTAACGGCTAGATTTTTGTATAATTTTACCGTTGTATTAAGACACATTAGCCGTTAAGTCAATTAAGCATTATTAGACCCTAAATGGGCTTTATAATCAGAAAATTAAACGATCATTAGGCCCAATAAATCTATGTTACAACTAAAAGATCCAATGCGGTAACTCGACAAGATTATAGCAATAATCAATATCGATTCCCTGTAAACTCTGTAAAGATTCAGAAACATTATTAAACTTCTAACTCGTGTCCAAAAAAACCAGAGCTTGTAATGGGTCCTCTTAAAAGCATATTTTCAAAGCCCATAAGTTGATGAATGAATACTGGACCGGTGTCGTTTTCCGGCCGGTGAAATTATCTCGTAAATGGGTCAGGTCCGTAAATTTCAGTAGTCCGTAGTGGTATTATTGTCATTCCACTAGCCAGGGGTATAATCGGTAAAATAAGGAATAAAGAAAGACAGAAGCTCGTCTCTTTGTTCGATTTACTTTGCCGTTTCTCTTTAGCAGATCTGCGATTAGAAGAAAATCCAATACCAAGGTTCGTACCTCCTCCTTGATTCGCTCATCAAAACTCGATTGTGTCGGTGAGATATTTCTGGATACTCAGTTGAATTTTGATCTTCCGATAGATATCTTTAGGATCCATGAACGTCTTTAGATCGAGTTTGGTTATGTATACTCTCATGAATCGATGGGAAGCGATGAGATCAGAGTTTCACGATTTCGAATTCACCTTTTTTTGTTGATCTTGTTAAAAACTTACTTGCTTTGGATTCTTGTGATGGGCTTCTGGAAATTTGTATGATTTAGTCATTGCAATGTTAAATTGTCCATGGTGATTGTGTTGGTTTAAACGCTTAAATTGAGATCTGTGAATAGATCGATTCATGCTTTCTGCTCTGCCTCGATTGTGATAATTAGTTAATTGTTCAATGTCTGATCGTTGAGTAATAAGAGCTTTGCTTGAACTAATGTCTGGATCAAAACTATCGTTTAAAGGTCATTTTCCAGTTGTATTGGGAAGACTAATGGCTCTAAGCTATATATGAACCCTTTGTTATGTAAGATGTTTAGTGAACTTTATGCAAATTCTGATTAATCCACATTATAACCATCCAGGTAACATGCCTCCCCAGAAGATTGAAACGGGTCATACCGATATTGTCCATGATGTGGTTATGGATTACTACGGAAAGCGAATAGCAACTGCTTCATCTGATGGCACGATTAAGATAACTGGGGTAAGCAACAGTGGCGGATCTCAGCAGCTAGCTACCTTAACTGGTCATCGGGGTCCTGTCTGGCAAGTCGCATGGGCGCACCCAAAGTTTGGTTCTCTCCTTGCTTCATGTTCCTATGATGGGCAAATCATACTATGGAAAGAAGGTAACCAAAACGAATGGACTCAAGCTCATGTCTTCACAGACCACAAAGTATCAGTCAACTCAATCGCTTGGGCTCCTCATGAACTCGGACTCTCCTTAGCTTGTGGAGCTTCGGATGGAAACATATCGGTTTTCTCAGCTAGAGCTGATGGCGGTTGGGACACAACAAAGATAGACCAAGCTCACCCTGTTGGAGTCACATCAGTCTCATGGGCCCCAGCCACAGAACCAGGCTCACTCGTTAGCTCTGGTACGCTCGAACCGGTTTACAAATTAGCATCGGGTGGGTGTGATAGCACTGTGAAAGTGTGGAAATTCGCCAACGGGTCATGGAAAATGGATTGCTTCCCGGCTCTTCACAAGCACACGGATTGGGTCCGTGACGTGGCTTGGGCACCGAACTTGGGTCTACCAAAGTCAACCATAGCCAGTGGTTCAGAAGATGGGAATGTAATCATATGGACAATAGGGAAAGAGGGTGAGCAATGGGAAGGTAAGGTTTTGAAAGATTTCAAGACACCGGTGTGGCGGGTTTCGTGGTCATTGACTGGTAACTTGTTGGCTGTTTCCGATGGGAACAACGTCGTTACGGTGTGGAAAGAGGCTACTGATGGAGAGTGGGAACAAGTGACTGTCGTTGAGCCATAGATTGTTCAGTGTTGCGTGTTTGCTCGTCTTTAATTTTGTGGTAATATCATAATGTGTTTCTTTTATACATTTTCTAGGGACTTGATATGTTTGTCAATCTATTTTAAACAAACACCTTCGATTGCAAAAAAAAAAATTTTATTTTAAGAAATGTAATTTTCATAATTACATTTTCATAATTAGTTCATTGTTTTCTTGGCAATTAGCAGACTAATTTTTCTTTTTAATCTTCTAGATTTATGAATTATTACAAATTATGAGAAAATACTTATTTGAAATTATTTAAGTAGTTTCTTAAGTGAAACAAAGCAGTTGATTATGTTTGATGAACTGATAATTGCGTTTAACTTAATCGTATTTAGGTAACCTGAAATCAAACGCTGGTTCTTCTTCTTCAACTCGAGATTTCATCAATAATGTCTCCGAATCAATATTTTCAAAGAACATCTATGGTTGTGGTGCTCTAAATTTAAAGAAAGATCTAAGATAGGGATTCAAAGACGCCATTGATGAGATTCCGAGTGAAAAAAGAAGAAAAATCTATATTCAATTTCGGTTATATAAACGCAGAAACCGTTCATTAAATTTTGAACAAATATACTGTTTAAGAAAAATTACAAATAACACAAATTTTCAGAATTAGTAAGAACAAAATGTTAAAAAGTTCTTTTGATCTTGTTAAGTTTTATCTACGTTATTTAGTCTTGTTTATCTTCATTTTGCATATTCATTTTGCCTATTTCACTTAATATGTAATTAAGATTCCAGAAATATAAAGATATCATTTAGCTTAGTTTAGTTAATTACTTACATTTTTAATGTATTATTTTTAACTCTTTGAGATTCGATACCCCAATCATTATCGAGGATGACTTTCTATTGGGTAGAGTGTGATGAACTTTGTTGCAATGAAGACAGAGGAACAAATGTTGTGCAAAAATTTACTTTACCTCCATTTCGTCTCTTACATGATAATAAGTTGTTTGCTTTTTATTCTTTTGGATTTTGCACTGACATGATGAGGATAAAGATTATGACTTGCTTTAAAAACAAAGGTTGTCGTGATTACGTCTTCTTTCTATATGAGCATTTGGTAATGAGATGAAGATGGTTTGAGGATTTTTACCAAATTCACCCTACTACTCACCACGAGCTCCGTCTTCGCTAGGTGTTTTAGACTGTGATTACTTTTTCATAGAAAAGATAAAAAAGAAATCGTCATGAGCAAATTGGTACATACCCTAGCTCACTCGCCTTGCAGACGAACTTGTCTTTGATACTGGGTTTAGTCTGCATTCGCATGTCTAAAATGGTGGAGCAGCAGTTTAACTCTTTAAGCAAATGGCTTCTTACCTTTTGCTCTCTAGTGTTCTATTCAATCCAATTCGTCTCAATGCTCAAACCGTGACGCCCCATACGCCTTGTGGCCCTATCGCCTGCAGCTAGGGCTGCGATTCACTGGATGATACAAACTGTAATGAACTACATTGCGGGAAAGATAGAGGAGCAGTCACCGTGGGCTGACTGGTATGCAAGTGGCGGTTTCCTCCTCCTTTACTTACACGTGATCTCCCACTTGAAGATGAAAGGAAGGGCTGCTAATTGTGGGGCAGGAGATGCAGTATTTGGTCTCGCAGTTTCCTTTGTCTCTCATACTATAGGCGGATTTGTTGCGAAAGTATTGATACCATCGATGTCTTCTTTTGTCATCTTCTTCATAGAGGTACGACAATGTCCACGCGAAAAGGATGAGAACGATGACATGGAGGAGGAAGAAGTGCTTGATATTGATAGTCAAAGATATAATGGTAGAACATCTCCTCTTCGGCTAGAGGGTCCATAAGCTGTTGATGAACAGAAGTTAATGTGGACAAGAAAAGGAAAACAAATTTACTATAGAGAATGGGAAGTAAGTGACCGTGTACAACAAAAGGAATACAACAAAAAGTATACAATAGTCAGAGATACATCATTTTGGTTTGTTTTAGATTCGTTTTTGTAGAAGACTCAACAAAAGAATTGGATTGTGTAGAGCTAATGAAATTTTTTGTTGGGTGAATAAAGAGAAGAGTTTGTATTAGAATTAGAATGTTGTATGTGGAATTTTCTCTTATATAGAAGACGTGTGAAGAAAGTTTGATTATAAGAGATAGAAAAGATGTGTAAAACTTAAATATTTGTTTGACCCATATGCATAATTCACAGTTATATAAAAAGAAACACTACAAAATAAAGTGCATTATAACATCATAAGTTTTATCTATGAGGAAATTTGGGAAAATATTCTCAAAATTTTATATATTTTGAAAACTAACCCTTGTTTTTAAAAAAATAGAAAACTAACGTCTTTACAATGAAAAATTACCAAAATGCCATAAATAAATCAAACAAATATATGTTTTTAATAAACAATAAAAAATATATTCGAAATAAAGATAAATATTAAAAAAAATCCTTTTTAACATAATCAACGTTATAAATAAACCAAAATACAACTATGATATACATTATCTAACATAGAAAATAAATTTATAATAATATCATAACTAAAAAATGATGATATTTTTAAAATCTGATTTGATATTTTTTAAATAAGAAAATTTAGTACTACGTACACTAAACTGTCACATAAGTCTTTCGAGAAATTTTAAGAAATGTCACTTTTCAAGTGCCACTTTTCAAAAATGCCACATTTTCAAAATCTTTGCAAAAATGCCACTTTTTCAAAATCTTTGCAAAAATGCNNNTTTNNNAAAAAAAAAAATTATTATATTATTTATGTTTGGGTTAACTATGTTGCATTAGGGTTTCGTTTTGAGGGTTTAAGAGATTTTAGGGGTCAAAACATTTTCTAGGATTTATAATTTTAAGATTTAGACTTTAAAAATCCATAATTAGTGATATTTTTGCAAATGGACACCCCAAGCGGCATTCTTGCAAATGTACACACCAAAAATGGTATTTTTGCAATTGTTCCTAAGTTTTCACAATGAAATTATGGAATTTTTCGATGAATCAAAAGAAAGAAAGAAAGCT